CTTTGGAGAGGCATTTGAGCATACCGTAGCGACGGGTTCTATGGCAGACACATAACTGAAATTTGAGCCACGTTTGGTGAGCCATGTCGCCGCATAGCGACAAGCTACTGCGACCGTAACTAAGCCAAACTGTCGCTTTAACCATATTTGCCAAATTTAACGATTGCATCAGGCTCACCTGGCTGTGTAGCTCAATTGTTAGGATTGTTTATGACAACGACTGGGGGAATACTTTGAATGCACTCACGCAGCCTGCAGTTATTTTAATGCAGTGAAATCATTGTTGGAATGCCCAGTTGCATGTAACTGCCAAATGAGATAGACACCTACCTGGGAGTTAGCACGTCGTAAAAACACGCTCGACCAAGACATAAATCAATGCGCACACAGAGGCTGGCAGCCGCTGACACCCAGGCGAGACCTTTACTCTCACTTTTCTTCAATAATACCCAAAACTTTTCCAATAAGTCGTCCAACTAGGCGAAAGGCGGAAACAAGAAGCGCGGGCGTAACACATGTTCGGCATTTATATGCAAATCGACGACAAATCATAAAACAAAATTTTAAAGCAGATGGAACACTCTTCAAAAACACACTGCGATTTGTGTCAGCGTGTCAAAATGCGTGAGTGTAACTAGAAATGGTAAAAGCAATGGGAACTCAAGCCCAGCTAGAGATGGGCGCGTGATCTTCCCATTGGGCATAATGAAAGTTAAGTGAATGAAGTCGATTCTTCCAGTCTGATAGATAGTTTACTTACATTATATCAATTATCCATATCAATCCTATTCTACATCTGACTTCATAGCCCCTACTTCTAACATGCTCTAATTGGCTCTTAAATACCTTAACCATCAACTAAGATAGTTTCAAGTAATCCAGTTATTCATTTATTCTCTATCCAGCCAACGTGACTCACGTGGTCAGTTGGCCCATCTTTAAGTCCTACTTTGAGACCAAATGGAAACAAAACGAAGCAACGCCGCAGAGCTAACCAAGCCCCAAACCCAAACTCGCCAGCCAAACTGTCCCATCAACGACAACATCTTAAGCTCATTTGTCACATAAAAATCATATATGTAATTTGCTTGACAACCAAAAGTGGACGTCACGCGCCGCTGTAGCAAACGCCTCCATATTGGTGTAGGTATCAGCGACATGCACATGTTGCATGAGCCTCTCTCGGCTGGTATCCAGGTGCAAGCATCCAGGCATTGCTGTCGCGTCTTCGGAGCTGGTGATGGTGTTGCGTTGAGTAAACATTTCCTTAAATTAGCTGCACTTCGGATGCTGCATTATGATTCGTTCAGACGGGATGAGAGCGGACTGCTGGTGCGCTCTTATAGCTGGCTTCAGCATCATCATCAACACAATCATCATCATCGTCGTCACATGGCCTTTTTTGGGTGGGCACACAACATTAAGTGCTGAGATTTTGATGGAGTGTTGATGCAGCTGAGGTCAGTTGTTAAATTTATGGCCTCTTATAGCTTGCATGATGCATGAGCCACACTTTCAGGTGGGCGCGTTTCATTCAAATCCATAATCACAATTACAAGAGAAAAGCCCGGCTAACTAGCCTCTTTTCATGTCTCCTTTCCGGGGCTTTCTCACAATTTCTGATGATAGATATCGCCAGGCATCATATCATATCATATCTATGGTGCAGCAGCAAAGCACGTTTAAATGAAAAGATGTGCTCAAGTACTATTAATATCCAGAGATAACAATTAATTATTTTCATTTATAAATTTTGTTAAGTGCCATGTCACTCGGCTGGCAGAGAGGTCACTCGTCGGATTCCCCTTTACTCTTTATTGTTAGTCTTGGAGTTGACTCGTATCACATAGTCCACATGGCTGAGTTAATTTTAGTTAATAGATGAGATAACTTTATACAGATTATTATCGCTTATTTATTTAGTTTTTATATACCTTACCTGGAGTTGAATGGGAAAACCCTCCAAATACATCCTTCATAAAAATACTCAAAAATTGTAGAAGGAATCACAGTTTTCTCTCTTCTCTTACAACAAAAATAAAGCACTCTTGGAAAAATCCATTAAGCATAATTAACAATTCAAAACTTAAAACCATATCACACCTAAAAGAGGAAAAAAACTCATAATGTTTGAGACGAATGCATCTTGTGATTCACTCCATTAACCGTTAAGTGAGTAAACTGAACTCTCTAAACTCTCGATGCTTCCGCGGCGTTTACACCTAGCAGTGAAACGATGGTCAAGTCGAAGGCTTTCACATCCGGTTCTCAGCATTGAAATGGTAAATATGTTCAGTAGAACCGTTTAAGAAATCCATTTAAACAACGAAACACTTCAAAGTGAGCCCCACTTGCTGCAGCAGCGTCTCCGCTCTCTGGCTGACTGCAGGTCTATCTGCAAGCAAAGCCCTTTGCAGCTTAGGCAAACATTTGCAATTACAATTTTAGCATATAATTGCAAACATGATAAACACTTTTATCGCCGCTCGTTGTGCTACGAAGCTGGCCAGAACAATGCGACAACAGATGCGCCGATGCTTGAGTTGGCCAGGACGGGCTAAGGATGGAATCGCTGCTGCTGCTGCCACTGAGACAGAAACAGAAACAGCAACTGCGACTGAGACAGAGCTTCTGATGGCGATAGAGACTGGAGCTTTGGGGCTACAACTCACGCAGCCGCCGACAGGTTTGGCTGCCAAGAAGAAGCGTGTCGCCAATTGATCGTGAGTTTTACCTAGAAAAATGTCGCGACAATTGTTAGCAATGGCATAAAAAACGAAACGAAAAGGAACAAAACGTACTAAAGAACTGGTAGCCACAGCCAAGAAGACCGAGAACAGTTCAGAGACAAAGCTGATGCTGGAGCTAGTCTATCGTAGTATGCAATTGAAATTGAAGAATTACGCGAAGAATGTCAGCGAACATAGTAAATGTTGTACATAAGACTGGCTCTTCGAGCCATGTATTATGCCAGTTTTTGTGCCGTGATGGTAGCGGTGGTGCAGTGGTGCACTGGCTGTGGCTGTGCTGATACAAGAAATTGTCACATTGGCTTGTAAGTGAGGCACAGCTGATCGGCGGCCAGAATCGTGCAGGGCCAAAACAGCCCCCGCTATGTAAGCTTTGTGGCGGCATCTAAATGAACTGCAGATCGACTTCATTTTAGTAGCCAGCGCCTCATTACGAATGTAAATGATGATGGACAATAATGACGCGACAACAGGAAGTCCAAGCGGCTGCCTCTGCCGCCGTCGACATCTTCTTACTGTCTTCAGCCCATCCAGTTTCAGTCGAGTCGATGCAAGTCGAGGCCAGTCTTTCCCAGTGATAGTGAATGAACTGCCAGATTGCAATTGATGCTGATGTTGCCTAGCAAGCGGACCTGATCATAGCCCAGAGATCGGCGATTCGAACTGGGCTAGTGCATCGTTAAATTGATTTGTGTGCCTGCCGATAACTAGTTTCCAATGGCTGAGAAAGCTCTGCTGTCGTCCCTCCGTGAGCAACAAAATATTTCAGTTATAGCTAAATGCATCTCTTTGGATATGCTAGAAATGTCACCTATGCCGAAAGCCACTTTGTTTGGCTCGCCTTTGATGAGCTCTGGCTTCCGTTTAAGGCTTCCAGCTCTCGATTTTGGCATCATCGCTGTCATAAGAGAGTTGTAAGTATTCCATTACGTCTTGCTTGTGTTCTTTTTTCGTGACTAACATATTTGGCATGAGAATGTTAGCTGTATGGAACTTAGCACAAATTACATTAATAAATATGATTAATTAATTAACTGCGTTCATAGAACACCACATTAGACTAGCTGATAGTTTGTATAAAGAAATAAAATCTTGACTTATGATTTGATAAAACTAAACTTAACTTTACACTAAGATCTAGAGATGGCTTTCATGAAATCAATTTCGACTTCAACTTTAATCTTGATTTCTTAACTCCACACATTGTCTATATAGCCTCAAAATTTCTTAAGTTATTATCAAATATAAAGTATTAATTGTTCAACAATGAGCTATGGACTCAAATATAAGCCTAAAAGACCAACAAATGGACCGCACATCTACTGCGGTTGAAGCTGTCGAACAAGTTGACAAACAAATTTACGGCAACTCGAAATGGCCAGAGAGAACCGTTAAAGCTATTGCCAGAATTGTCATAATTTCGATTAGCTTACCAATAAAAGACAACAACAACGGCAACGGCAATGGCAACGGCAATGGCAACAACAAGAGGAACAGGCTGAACAGCTGAACATTGAATGGAAATGGCACAACGCCCGCGACTTAAGTTCGGTTCTTTGAGAGAAATCATCCGCAAGCCTTTGCCGACAGTTCGGCCAGGCCTGTCGAAATGCAACAGAAATTAAAGTTAACAAATTTCCGACAATGTTTGGACATTTTCCAAGCCGGAGCACAACAAGCGGCGTCTAGCGGTCCCATCGCCCGGCTATGATCGCATGGGAGTACGGGTACCGTAATTGTTCGATGTGTTTTCGCTTCTATTGTGCGCGCACATTCAAAGCTGTCAGAGAACCGTTCGGGAGTAGCTCCCAGTTGGTTGCTGGGTAGGTAGGTAGATAGGTACGATCTATTGTGGATCGCTGACAATGCAGCAACAGCTTCCTTCCATTAGCAGACGCCCAAAGGCTCGCAACTTGTTCAATTGTTCACATTTTCTGTGTTCCTTTTTTTAGAAGGCTTTGGCAATTAGAGAACTAGAGAGTGGGAGAGCGGCGAGCGGGAGCAACTTGCGCTCTTCCACGCCTTTACAGTTTTGCGACTCAATGTGTGTAAAGTTAAGTTGTTGTCATTCAGCAAGTCGTGATGTCCCATTGAGCTGCAGATTTTGGTGGCACTTAGTCCACTGTCTCTCTTATTTGCTTTCCCTCAGCAGATATCTAAGGACAGTCTGCGATATTCCAGATGCGAACAGAACAGCTTATTAAAAATCTCATGATGTCTATTGAAACACTATCAATTGATAATCAAGCTACAAGTTTGACAGTTAGTCGATAATAAACCATATTGACATTTCCAGTTAGAATGCTAAACACGCTCACACTCTTCTGGCCATTTGGTGATAATTGGCGTCTTGGTGTGGCATCCACGAAGCATCAACGCCGGCAATCAGTTGGAAGCTGGATGCAAATCAGTGAACTGGCATTAGGCAAAGATCTTCAGAGGTAAAGTTCTCACAATTTAATTAGTATGCATTTCCATTATTTATATAGTATGGCCTCAATGGCCACATCGTTAGCAGTCCGCAGTTCCACACGGCTTGGCCATTGTTTTTTCGTGCATCAGCATCAGGCTGGGGGCAAGGGGCACAGGGAGGCAGCAACTTCAGCTCGTACGCATGTCAATCTTCTCGGATGCTCTGTAGTTGCAGGTAACAACCCAAACAACAGCCCGAACACACACACACAGACATTAGCTCATTTGGCATGTAACTTTTTTTGGATTCCTCTTCTTTGGGCTGATGTTCTGAGCAATGTTTTGTAGTTTTTATAGCTGCTTTTTACAGGCCCGAGACGATCCGTGTACTTCCACAAACTATTGTAATACATCAATATGATTATGAGCACTAGCGCTTCGAGGCAGGTTGCCAGTCTGCCTCTCTCTACCTCTTGCTCTTCCTCTTTCTGCTCTCTGTTTGCCTCATGTGGCATGTGCTTGATTTATTTAAAGTTTTTCAAAATATGTTGCCTTTGGTTGCCTTTTCTTTTCTCTGTTTGTCAAAGGCAAATAAGCCAAATTGAAAATGGTTTGTCTTCTGTTTGTACTGCATTGGCACCTTTCTTACTTTGCTCATTATGTACACTTAGTATATATTGCTGTTGCCATTTGCCATCTTTGGTAGATTTATTACTTGGCCTTGGAATTGAGAAAGAATTTAGCTAACTGTTTGGCTAAAGTTTCCAATTGGATTCTGCATATAAAAATATAAATCAATACAGAAATAGAAATTGTAGTTCTCTTAGCCTCCATCCAGCTCTACTGCTCTGTATTTAACATTTTATGAGGCTAATTATATTATTCTGAAAATGTTGAAAAAATCCCTCATTTCCTAATTGATTCTTCGACTCTGAGACCCCCTCAAGACTTAAAGTTCACGAAATCAGGTCACAATGCGAAAATGAAGCCTACACCCCACAGGCAGCTTAAAGAAGATAAGTTTCCATATGCTTGTATATACAATATTAATGAAAGTATTCTTCATAATTAATGAAATCTTAATGGGCGCCTTACAAGGCAACGCAGACAGCGCACAAACACAAATCAGCGCCGGGCCAAAGCAGCTTAGCGAACAGAAGTTCCCACATCATTAATAAAAGAAAACCAAAAAAAAAAAATAAAAGAAGCCCAACTAGAGATCAGAAGCAGCATCGTTCGAGAGACACACACGATGATCCCGTGCTGGCGCTGGCCAACAAAATTCAAACGAATTAAAGCGACTTCAACTTACAAATGTATCTACAAGATACAAGAACAAAAACAAAACCAAAAAAAAGAAAAACACAAACGACGACAAATTATGCAGCGACAACGAAGACTAACTCAAAGCGCAGCAGCAGAAGCAGCATTTAGATTTGGAATTGGAAGGAAGCTGCAGGCTTATCTCGCGCATGGACATGTATTTAGATTTAAATTTGGCTCTTTCGTTCACTAGCTAGCTAGCTAACTGAAATAAATTATAACAGTCGAAATAAAGTTGAACGTTTTGTCTGCTGTCCGTTTGAATGAAATTTATTGGCCTCAAATGGTTGCGGCGCTACCTGAAGCTCAGTTCCCCCTACCCCATTTCCACAGCGTATCAGCACAGCTTGTATGATAATCTGATAATCTCTGGAGCTCAGTCTCTCTCTCTCAACCTTTTCACACTCAATTAGCTGAGGGGAACTGCATCGCTCTGCATCTGTTGGCATTCACCATAATATTTTATCGATTTCATTTGCATGCGACTAGAGATAATAATATACACGTATTGTTGTTATATTCCCTCAAGCTGGCTACTACAGTTGCCAGCCTCCAGTCTCCAGCCTGCAGCTTCCAGCTGTTTAGATGCTAGCACTCGCATTTGTATCCCATGGCATTGAAAGGCAGTTTGAAAATGTTCTCAGCTCATAAAATTCCATAGTGAATCATTTGGCTCTGCGCTTTTTGTCTGGCGTCTTTCCGTGCTCGTCTGTCCAGCCGTCTGTTTGTCTGACTGTCGATCTGCCAGCCCGTCCAGTGCGCTCCATTGGTCTGCATTTCATTTATTGTGTAATTCCCCACAATGTACTCTTGGCCACGGATTTGCTGTCTTGTCCGCTGCCCCGTTTGCTGACTGCCTTGTTTTCGGTTGTCTTCGCTTTCGAATTTGATTCTTGATTTTATGTCAGTTTATTTATGATAAGATGACCTTTTTTCTTCTTTTCCTCGCCATCTCATTTTCGGCCTGTCGTCGTCTTCGTTCGGCTGCTCTTTAATAGAATTGGAGCTGGCTCGGGATGCACAACTTAGTTGTGAATGAATGAAGCTCATTAAATTATGGGGCACTTATGGGTTAGCGGTGTGTGTTTTAGGGCACTTTTTGAAATATGAGTAGCGTACACTGAGCGTAATAAGGGCTGCCTTCAAATACCTTTAGGGGGCTGCCTCACAGATGGGGCAGCGTCGTATGATTTTAAGTGCTCCCTTTATGAGTTGATTAGCTCCCAAGAAGCACAACTATATTGAAGCTAAAATTGTCTTTCTCAAAAGAATATATTACTTAGAGTTGTCTTAAAAGATTTCTGTGAAGGAAAGGAAGTGAGCCCTCGCTGCCTATTCGACTGTTCAGCTTTTATTACAATTATTATATTAGCCACCAATTTTCGCTCAGTGTTCATAGTTTCAGCATTTGACGGCAGCAACAATTTCCGATCACATTTAAATCCAACAAATCTGATTGCTCAGTTTACTATTTTGATTTTGTATCTGCCAGCAGCTGTTGTTGTTGCTGCTGCCGCTGCCGCTGCTCGTTTTCAAGATCAACAACGCAGTTGAGCGTCACGAAGATGAAAAGCGAGATCTTTTATAGCGATTAGGCGCGGACAATGAATGCACGATGGATTCAGAAAACAAAATCCAAGCCGAAAAACGCGAGTACAGAACTTTATATACGAGACAAGCTCAAAAGAGACAAGAATGAGAACAAGAACAAGAACAGAGTTTTTGTTGATCTTTTTGTTAATGCTGCAATGCTCTTGTTGGTGTTGCTATTGTTGTTGTTGTTGTTCTTTAGTTTAGTATTATGAGAATTGAGCCAAACATTTTTCAACTGGTTTGAGGCGCAGACAAAGGCATAAAATACAAAATAAGTCTGGGATCTTTTTATTTTATTTTTCTTCTTCTTATTTTTTCTTCTTTTGAACCGTTGACAGAGCGTGCATTATTAGTGTCAACCCTGGACCCGTTGCTGTTGTTTGTCTAAACATAATTGAAACGCGCTTTCAATGAGTTAATTTGGAGTTGGCTATGGCACTTCAGGAAGGACCGAGCGGTTGCGATGGACGCCTACGTAAACACAATTAGGTGCCAAGTGACGGAGGCGTCGCACTCGGACCACACGGGCCATGAAATGACAAAATGTGGAGTAAACCCACAGCGTAAACAAATCAAGAGCGCGAAGCCCGTGAAATCTTTGAATGAGCAATGTCACGGGCTTCGGTCCACAGCCTAACACAATATTTTCATAGGTCATTTTGATGGTTTAACATTCAAGAGAAGCTTGCTCACTCGCTGATGCATCTCGCCGCCATGGCGTATGCGTAATTGTTTTGTAAATGATACGTTAGCGGCTAGACACACACAAAGCACACACATGCGCAGACATTAAGTTGTACTGCCCACTGTCCAAATGACTTGCCACTTTGTGTTGCCAAGTTAAAAGTTGCTTAATTAGGCGTCTGGATCCGAGTCTCGAGTCGCATCGCATCGCATCGCATCGGATCGCTGCGACTGCAGTCGGAGTCATATCTATGATATTTGCAGCCCATGTTGACAGGCAACAAAAGATATATAAAGCTAGTGCCCGCCATCCATACGCACACGTATACGCACTCCTCAGCAACTTCATTAACAGCCGCAACGCCGTTTAAGATGTAAAAATAAAGTATTATTTATGATTATTGTGAGAATTTCACAATGGCATGCGAGAATTTATTGTTAATGCTTTGTTGCAGCCACCAGAGGCTGCCGCTGTGCAGGCTGAGACACAAGCCTCTGTACGATGGGCACTGTGGGACATATTCTATGCCTGAGTTAGTAAATTGTGACTGGCATTAAGATGTTTGTTATGTAGATATATTTATATGTATTTTAATATGATTTCAAATTGTAAGATCGTTGACTTGTAACATACAACATTCAGTCTTCAGTTTCGTCAAAATTTTCTGAGCAAAGTTTACACTTTGCTCCACTGTGCAGCTCACTCAGCTTCTCCTCAAACAAACAATTTACATTGCAAGAAGACAGAACAAATGCCGTCAACAACAAATTTTGATAATTTCTGGTTTTGTACAAACACACACATACATACATACATACATACATACATACATATATATTTACATATTTCGCTTATTTTTCACGCTGTCTTTTCTTGTTGCGATTTTCCTGTCGACTTTTTGATGCATTTTTGCGGCATGGAATCGCAATTAAAGTTAAATTTTGATGTCGCTGCTGAGACAGGCGTCTGGCACTTGTGTGTAGCTCGAATGAGCCATTTATCGCATTGCGGCTAACGAATTTTTCCCATTTTCTGGCCGTTTATTAGTTAATGTTTGGCTGTGAAATGGCAAACATTTCCTTATTGCTGCTGGCTGTCGTTGTTCAACACTTAAAATTCGTTTAACTATCTTTTGGAACGCCATCTTCCTTGAGCAGCGTTGCCACCTGGTCGCTGAAATTATCTAATGATAATAATAATAAAACATTGTTTTTAGAATTCATTCATACAAATTTTTATTGTTTTTTTTTTCATATTTTTTTCTTTTTGCATTTTGTTTGTTCGTTTTTTGTAGCTTGGTTTTTTTTCTTGCAGTTTTTCAATTCATTTTTTTAATTACTAAAATTTCATAAAATTGTTTAGACTAAATTGTAAGTACAACACTAAATTACAATTGTATGTATGTAACTACTATTTTTATATTTCTTTTCATGTTGTATAAATATATGTATTTAAGATCTTATCAATTTTATACAATCTGACGCGTGTTTGTCTGTGTGTGTGTTGGTTTGTGTTTTTTTTAGGCTTTCTTTTTTTGCAATAAAAATATAAATTACTAAAAACGACTATTTAAAAAATTAAATATTTATAAAAAATATATATACCATATATGTATATAGGCGATTCAAGCATATATAATATATCGTATGAGCGTAGATAACAAAATGTATTGTAGAGAGCTTTAAGTTAATATTTACAAAAATTAGTTGAGATAAACGTGTGGATGAGCGCTGATTTATAAAAAATATATATGAGTGTCTAAGGTTATCGCCAACATTGATTTGCCGCACAGTTTAATGATTTTTCATTTTCGTATTCGTTTTCGCTTTCGCTTTAGCACTTAGCACTTTTATAACTAGGTTTTCTTTTTACACTAACGAGGAACCATTTGCAATTTAACTGTAAGTTTTATGAGTTCGTTTTGTGAAGATTTAATTTTGATATTTTGGAATTTCGCAAGCAGCTGTTGCGTCATACATTGTTTGTTGTTTTGTTAAATGGTTTTGAGATCAAAATTAAATGTAAATAATTTGTTTTTTTTTTTTATTTTTCCTTTATAATATTAAGACTATAAACTGTTCTGAAGACTTTCAAACATACGCACGTATATAATATTGTTTGTTTTTTTTTTTATTTTTTTTGTAATTTGTATATTTCATTCAATTTTGTTCGTTTTTGTTTTTTTTTTTCTGAAGTTTCCATTTAGTATCAAATAAATTTACGCTTAAGACTTATAAATTCAATACATTTCGTTATTAACTATATATATTGTTGACTTCTTTGCTATAATTGCTCCAAATTAAAAAAAATGCCAAAAATTGTACAAAAAATTAAAAAATATTTTAGAATATGAAATAAAAGTTGTAAATAGTGTAAAAAATAAGCACTTATTATAGAATCACTAAATGTTTTGTTTGTCTTCGCTTGTCGTTTGTCTGTATGGGGCCTTTAGATAATATTATATATAATATATAATTAAGCTAGAGTTAAATTTATTTTATACTTTATGCATATGTATATTTTTTAGACACTAAAAGTAGGGCGCGAGATAGTCAATAATTATTTTTTTTTGCTTTTAAGTTTTTTTTTTGTTTTTCTTTCGTATATCAGAGTTTGCCTATAAAATACTATATACAAAATGCTTGCGCACTACTTTGCATAGACAAGTAGAGTCGAGCGACCGACCAAGCAGCGTCAATGAGGAATTTTTTGTATTTTCTTAGCTTCTAAATTAGTTTCTAATTATGTGCTAGAGTTCTTTGCGTTAAGTAGTATTTACAATTTATCGCAACTAAGTGAAACTAATAATAATAATAATAGTTGAAGCAGATTTTTCAGTAACATGCAAAACGTCAGTATATGTATGTAGTTTTTCGTCCAGTGTAGAGTTTCTTGTGGCTGCCGCAGCGCGGCGCCTTAGCCAGGGTCAA